AATGTATAGAACAGCAATGGGCAAACTACGGCCCCGCGGGCCGTATACGGCCCGGTGGACCTTTTAATCCGGCCCGCGGATGTGGCTGTCAGGATGTGTATAGGCAAGGCAGCGTGACGACGAACGTGAGGGGAGGGGAGCTAGGCTCCTCTCACAGTCCGCCCTGAAGACTGGAACGGCGCGGGAACACGGCGAGAGGAACTGGAGCAAAGGTAAGTGAATTGACACAGGGGGGACTTGGCTTACTACTTGGGGGGGAATAGTACTGTGGGGGATTAAATACTGTATTGAATTAATATGGGGGATGAATTAATATGGGGAATGAATTAATATGGGGAATGAATTACTATAGGGGGGATGAATTACTATATGGGGGATGAATTACTATGGGGGATGAATTAAAACTATATGGGGGATGAATTACTATGGGGGATGAATTACTATATGGGGGATGAATTACTATATGGGGGGATGAATTACTATGGGGGATGAATTACTATATGGGGGATGAATTACTATATGGGGGATGAAATTACTATGGGGGATAAATTACTATATGGGGGATGAATTACTATATGGGGGCATTACTATGGGGATAAGGAATTACTATATGGGGGATTAATTACTATGCTTACTATGGGGGAATATTACTATACTTACTATGGATGACACATACACATCATTCATCTACTCTTGGTCCGGCCCCCCGGGTCCAATTATATGAACCCATTGCGGCCCTCAAGTCAAAAAGTTTGCCCACCCCTGGTATAGAACCTGCTGCAACAGGACTGACATTTTTTTCTTTAAATTACATTTTTCTAGAAAAAAAAAAGTATGCCCCCCCCTCCCAATTCATACTAGACTCCTTAGGTCTTTTAGGAAGGTTAGGATAGACCCCACAGTAAAAAAAAAAAAAAAAAACCGAATGGGGTTTCCCCTAAAAGCCATACTAGGTCCTTTAGGGCTTGTAGGACTTTTAAGGGGAACTCCACCCCCCAAAAAATGGGGGAAAGTGTGGGGTCCCCCCTAAATTCCTACCAGACCCTTGATCTGAGCACAGGCCTGGCAGGCCAGGAAAGGGGGGGAAAGAACGTGTGCACTTCCCCTCCCTGCAGCTTATTAGGCCATGTGCCCGGCATGGGAATGTGTCCCCATGCCGGATGGTGTCCCCATGCTAATGGGGACAAGAGCCTGTTCCCCACACCCCTTGCCCTCTGGTTGTGGGCGTCTGTGGGCAGGGGAGCTCATTAGCATCAGGTTACCCCTTTAAATAAGGGGGCACCTTGATGCTGCCCCTCCCCTTGTGAAAGAGTAAGGGGTAAAAAAAAATGGTTCCGTTGTTGAAATCAATCGTCAATCAATATGTCCAGTGTTGTCACGATAACGCCAACTCACGAAAATAAAGAAAAGAAAACGGCACCTTCCGACCTGTCCATCCCCACCGAGCACCAGCCACAATCTGACATTTGTGGGTCACATGTAAACAATTGGGCCAACTGCTTATGTCTGACCAGCAACTGTCAGAACTGTCATCAACAATTGCCTGAACCTAGTGGTGATGTCGGCGGTCAGTGAGTGAGCATCTTCATAACAACGCTGGACACCGTGATTGACGATGGATTACAATGATGAAACCATTTTGTGGCTTTATTTTTTTTAATAAAGGACTTGTCAAAAACTGTTATTTTGTATTTATGTATTTTTTGTTTTATTTATTTATTTTGACTTATTATTATTTATTTATGTTTTTTTCCAGGGAGTGCATTCTCCCCTCTGTCTTGTTTAGTGTGGGAAGGGGACTGTGCATTGTGAGAGCACAGTGCATTGTGGGGTGTTTGGAGGGCAAACAGTTGGTGGTGCCTTCACACCGTAACCCTTCAGAGTTATTCTTGATGAGTGCAGGGTTGTACCCTGCTCTAAAAATTTTACATTTATGCACCTGTCATACAGTGCGTCTGTAATCCCTTGCAATTACTCTTGATGAGCGCAGGAATTGGCACTGCTCTAAAAAACTGAAATGATATGCACCTGTCAAACAGGTGTAGAAAAATTGGGTCTTGGGTGGTACTTGAACACTGTAACCCTTCACAGTTACTCTGGCTGGGTGCAGGAATGGACTCTGCTGTTAAAAATTGTTAGAAAAATATTGTAAAAAATTGAAATTAGATGTGCACTTGTCAAATAGGTGTAGAAAAATTTGGCCTTGGGTGTTGGTGGTGCCTGAACACTGTAACCACTCATAGTTACTCTTGCTGGTACAGGAATGGGCCCTGCTGTTACAAATTAGAAAAATATTGTAAACAATTGAAATTAGATGTGCCTGTTAAACAGGTGCAGAAAAGTTGGGCCTTGGGTGTTAGTGGTGCCTGTATAATGTAACCCCTCACAGTTACTCTTGCTGGGCACAAGAATGGGCCCTGCTTTAAAAAAATTAGAAAAAAAAGTGTACAAAATTGAAATTACATGTACCTGTCAAATAGGAGCAGAAATATAAGGGCTTGGGTGTTGGTGGTTCCCTAAACCAAAAACATTGTTGGAAGCTAGCATAATCAGGATTCAGGAATAGGATAGGCAGCACAGGCAGTCTTCAAGGGATCCCAGATCCCTAATAAATGTAATCAGTTACATCAGCAGCAGGAGCTTGATAGCTGCTGTTGATTCAGGACAGATTCACTTTGTTAAATGTCTGTGGAGTCTGTCGACAGATGCGCTCCATCACAAAACCTCCAGTAGCACTAAATGTCTGTTCAGAAAACACGCTGGATGCAGGACAGGCCAGTAGCTCGGTTGCATATTGAGCAAGTTCTAGCCAGTGACTCATCCTCAAGACCAGAAATCCAGTAGATCCTCAGATAGAAAGACCTCCAAGTCTGCTCTTGCCCCTTGATAAAAATCCTACACCATATGATGTAGATGCTGCTGATGGGTGCTTAAACCTAACAGTCCTAGGTGCTGAAGACAAAAGAATTGTTCAAAGGCATCGGTCAGCCAGCCGCCTTCTCCACCACTCTTTGTTTGACCAAACGAAGCCTCAGAAACATGCTGTCTAGGAAATGGTAACCTCCCAATGTTGAAAAGTCGGCACACAAAATTTTTCTTCAAGGAGTCCTCAAGATGTTTCATCCTCTGCTCCCTCTGCAAAGGCAGCATGACCTCTGTAACTTTACCCTTGTAAAGTTGCCAACCAGTAATGATCCCTCTCCTTGATACCACGAATCCTCAGGTCCTTTCGCAGGCTTTGCAGAATCAGGGAGCCCATGCAGTTTGAGGAGGCATGAGATTCTGAGTCTTCTGGGTCACTGAGCATGACACTGTCAGGAATTACCTCCTCCCAGCCACATACTAGTACTACTCCTGACTGGGTTTCTAGGGACTGAAAACCATCCCCTGAAGACTGTTATATGTTATCCTCTACTTCCATGTTGCCACAATCCTCCTACTCCTGTCTATTCTGCGGCGCCACAGGAATGGTATCTGCATAAAGGGGGCCTTGAGAGGAAAGAAAGTCCTCCTCTTCCTCTTGCTGTTCTGCCTCAAGTGCCCTGTCCATGATTCCATGCAGTGTGTGCTCCAGCAGAAAGACTAGAGGGATAGTGTCACTGATGCATGCATTGTCACAGTTCACCATACTTGTGGCCTCCTCAAATGGTGACAAGGCAGTGGTGAAAACAAGCCAAGCTCCCCTGAGCCTGTTCTTGTGCCACTCACACAGTTACTCATTAATTGCCCTTTGCTGCACATGCAGCTGCTACAGCATTGCCAATGTTGAGTTCCACCTGGTGGGCATGTCACAAATGAGGTGGTTAATGGGCAAGTTGAATTCCCGTTGAATGTCAGCCAGCTGAACAATGGCCGGATATGGCCACAGACTTATCTGTTATCTAGACTTCTGGCCTGCTTCAGAAGATCTTGTAAGCGTCGGTACCCATTCAAGAAATGCTGCACTGCCAAATTCAGGATGTGTGCCAAGCATGGAACATATGTCAAGTGTCCCTGTTGGAGGGCAGAGAGAAGGTTGATGCTTTTGTTGCATACAACCATTCCTGGCTCAAGCTGTCATGGTGTCAACCACCTCTGAGCCTGCCCCTGCAGAGCTCACAGAATCTCTGTGTGGCTCCTGTCCCCTAGACAGATTAGCTGAAGCACCGCATGGCATGTTTTAGCCTGACTGCTTGTATAGCCCCTTCAATGCTTAGGAAGCACTGCTGGTTCAGAGGACAGTTCGGCAGAAGAGGCCTGTCAGGGCTCCCAGGTGTGACCAGAGGTGTGTGGCTGACGCAGGGAAACGCAGACCTCAGATATGTTATAAACAATATAATTTATTAACACTAACAATACAAACATAAACGCAGTGCAATACTAAAACATAATACAGTGCAACCAAACCAAACCAAACCAACCACCCACCCACAGATAACAGTACATACAAGCAAGCGTCGTCAGGCAGGCCGGGTCAATATCAATAGGGCAGGTAGGTACAGGGGGAGCAAGCGGAGATTGGTCGGGGTCACAGGCCAGGTTCAGCAGGTAGCAAGCAGCGTGGTACAGAGGGTCAGGCAGAGGGATGGTCAGGAGCGAGCCGGGATCAGAGCAGGAGAAGTCAGCAGCGGTTCAGAAACAGGATGCAGGAACAGAAACAGGATACAGGGCCCAGGACAAACACAACACCAAGGCAGAGTCTGTGGGTCTGGCCATCCCTTAAATACCCCAGCATAATCAGTTCCAGGTGTTAGCTGGCTGCAAAGTTGAGTCTCTGATTGCTGGGAGCATCCGCTGGCCAGCCCTGGTACTGCAGATCAAAAGGCAGGTGAGTCCCACCATTGCTGGCCAGTCCATTCCTGACAGTACCCCCCCCCCCTCAAGGAGCGGCCTCAGGACGCTCCAAACAGTCCTAGCTGGGAAAAAATGTTCCACCACCGGCCCGGTCTGGTAACTGGCGGGATATCAAAGACTGGCACCGGGCAGGACTCCGGGCAGCAGTAACCGGGCAGAGGCACATCGGGCTGGACTCCAGGCAGAGGCACACCGGGCAGAGGCACACCGGGCAGAGGCACACCGGGCTGGACTCCGGGCAGAGGCACACCGGGCAGAGGCACATCGGGCTGGACTCCGGGGCAGAGGCACATTCTGCAGACTCCGGGCTGGAGGCAGAGGCACATCGGGCTGGACTCCGGGCAGAGGCACATCGGGCTGGACTCCCGGGCAGAGGCACTTCGGGCAGGACTCCGGGCAGAGGCACATCGGGCAGGACTCCGGGCAGAGGAACATCGGGCTACCAGGAGAAGCGGCAGGCAGCGGGCCCCCGGGCGGGGCGGCAGGGCACCGGGCCCCCGGGCGGGGCGACAGGCACCGGGCCCCCGGGGCGGGGCGACAGGCACCGGGCCCCCCGGGCGGGGCGACAGGCCACCGGGCCCCCGGGCGGGGCGACAGGCCTCGGGCCCCGGGCGGGGCGACAGGCCTCGGGCCCCCTGGGGCAGGGCGACAGGCCTCGGGCCCCCAGGCAGAGCGGCGGCGGGCGCCGGATCCCCAGGCGGAACTAAAGGTCTCGGGCCCCCAGGCGGAGCGGCGGGCGCCGGACCCCCAGATGGAGTGGGACAGGTCTCGGCCCTCAGGCGGAGCGGCGGGCGCCGGACCCCCAGATGGAGCGACAGGTCTCGGGCCCTCAGGCGGAGAGCGGGCGCCGGACCCCCAGATGGAGCGACAGGTCTCGGGCCCTCAGGCGGAGCGGCGGGCGCCGGACCCCCAGATGGAGCGACAGGTCTCGGGCCCTCAGGCAGAGCGGCGGGCGCCGGACCCCCAGATGGAGCAACAGGTCTCGGGCCCTCAGGCGGAGCAACAGGTCTTGGGCACCGAGTCACCAGGCACACGACAGTGGGCACCGAGTCGTCTGGCAAGACTGCGGGCATCGAGTCAACTGGCGGAACTGCGGGCACCGAGTCGTCTGGCAAGACTGCGGGCACCGAGTCGTCTGGCAAGACTGCGGGCACCGAGTCGTCTGGCAAGACTGCGGGCATCAAGTCAACTGGCAGAACAGCGGGCACCGAGTCGTCTGGCAAGACTGCGGGCACCGAGTCGTCTGGCAAGACTGCGGGCACCGAGTCGTCTGGCAAGACTGCGGGCACCGAGTCATCTGGTAAGACTGCGGGCACCGAGTCGTCTGGCAAGACTGCGGGCACCGAGTCAACTGGCGGAACAGCGGGCACCGAGTCGTCTGGCAAGACTGCGGGCACCGAGTCGTCTGGCAAGACTGCGGGCACCGAGTCGTCTGGCAAGACTGCGGGCACCGAGTCGTCTGGCAAGACTGTGGGCACCGAGTCGTCTGGCAAGACTGCGGGCACCGAGTCGTCTGGCAAGACAGTGGGCTCCGAGTCAACAGGCACGACAGTGGGCACCGGGTCATCAGGTATCGGATTGTCTGGCTCGACAGCGGGCATCGGGTCACCAGGTATGACAGCGGGCACTGGGTCACCCAGGCATCAGGTCATTTGGCTTGCCAGCGGGCACCGTGTCATCTGGCAAGGCAGTGGGGCACCGGGTCACCAGGTATGACAGCGGGCTCTGAGTCAATTGGCACAACAGCGGGCACTGGGTCAGGTACCGGATCATCTGGATCAACAGCGGGCATCGAGTCAACTGGCCTAATAGGATCGTCGGGCTGGATCAGTTCATCAGGCTGAATGCAGGCATCAGGCTGAGTAGAGGCTTCAGGCTGAGTAGAGGCATCAGGCTGAAGAGAGGCATCAGGCTGAAAGAGAGCATCAGGCCGAGTAGAGGCTTCAGGCTGAGTCACGGAAGGCAGGTTTCACCGGTTTGGATACTGGCAGGATGGTATTGGTTGGAAAGAATTTTCGCTTTTTTCTGGTTTTAACTACTGGAGCACTGCAAGTAAACGCAGGTCTGCAAACGAATGGAGCAGCTGGAGACAGAGAAAAACTGGAGGATGGAACAGGAGAGGGAGCAGTTGCAGAGGGCTTTTTTACAGGGTTAAAGGCAGGATAGGTGCAGCGAGTGGGAACAGGGTACTGACATGCGGTAGATAGCCAAGTATACTGGGCTGTAACTGGAGGAGCTGGTGGGAATACAGGAGTAGAGTTAGAAGCAGGACTGGGTTCTTGTAAGCTGACTGAGGCTGGGTGCAACAAGTCTGTCCAGTCTGCAGTATGGGTTGAACAAAGCTGAGCTTACACAAAGCCTGTCTGGTCAATGACTGCACTTCGTTTATACAATCTCTTAGTGTCTGTGGTGAACATGTGGAATAACGCTCCAGAAAGTAACCCACATCATCCTCTAATAACCATACCAGGGACTCTACCTGGTCTGCACTAAATGGTGGCAAAAATTCATCCCTGCATTCGGGGGGAACCAGATGAAACCAACTCAGCACAAACCTCAATCAAAGGCTGCACCTCAGAGAACTCTGTGCCCTGATCTACTAGAACATGAGCGAGGTATACATTCTAGTAGTTGATCCCTGGGATACTCCTTCAGAGTTTGATAAGCATACTCCCTGTCATCAAACACTAGCAGATATAAATACACAACCTCATCCAGATCCATCCTTCCCAGCAACAAGCCAAGATGGCTTCCTGTGCAGCCACTTCTGGTCAGGATTGGCCTTGGTGTAATGTCAGGGCTCCCAGGTGTGACCAGAGGTGTGTGGCTGACGCAGGGAAACGCAGACCTCAGATATGTTATAAAACAATATAATTTATTAACACTAACAATACAAACATAAACGCAGTGCAATACTAAAACATAATACAGTGCAACCAAACCAAACCAAACCAACCACCCACAGATAACAGTACATACAAGCAAGCGTCGTCAGGCAGGCCGGGTCAATATCAATAGGGCAGGTAGGTACAGGGGGAGCAAGCGGAGATTGGTCGGGGTCACAGGCCAGGTTCAGCAGGTAGCAAGCAGCGTGGTACAGAGGGTCAGGCAGAGGGATGGTCAGGAGCGAGCCGGGATCAGAGCAGGAGAAGTCAGCAGCGGTTCAGAAACAGGACAGAACCAGGATACAGGGCCCAGGACAAACACAACACCAAGGCAGAGTCTGTGGGTCTGGCCATCCCTTAAATACCCCAGCATAATCAGTTCCAGGTGTTAGCTGGCTGCAAAGTTGAGTCTCTGATTGCTGGGAGCATCCGCTGGCCAGCCCTGGTACTGCAGATCAAAAGGCAGGTGAGTCCCACCATTGCTGGCCCAGTCCATTCCTGACAAGGCCATAGAGGAATAGGAAAAGGATGGGGTGGAGCAGACAAATGTGGTAGAATCACCACCAGATTTTTGGAGACGTGGTGGCGGAACAAGCTCAAGCACTGAACCCTGTCCTGCATCCTTCCCAGCTGCCAGCAGATTTACTCAGTGAACTGTGAAGGAAATGTAACGTCCCTGACCATGCCTGCTGGACCACGTGTCAGCAGTAATGTGGACCTTGTTGCTGACCACCCTGTCCAATGAGGCCAAAACATTGCCTTCCACATGATTGCACCTGCCACTGTGCTGCAGCACATTCTGCAAATTCACGGAAGGGGTCAGAGTCCATCAGATGGAAAGGCAGCAGTTGTAACGTTAGCAATTTGGCCAAGATAGCATTTAGACGCTGAGCATGTGGATGGGTGGCACAGGTAGTGAAATTTTCCTGATGAAATAGTGTACTGCTAGCAGACTGGGTGCAAGGGCCTATGGTACCCATTGCTATACCATCATCCCTGTCATTGGAGGCTGTTGAGGTGACTTGAGGTATAGTAGGGGTAGAAATCCCAGATGAGGAGCAAGGAAAAGTCTGCACTTTTTTATGTTGTGGGTGTTTCAGGTGCTGTTGCCAATGAGCTGCATGACAGGTCATCATATGTCTTGTCAGGCATGTGGTGCCCAAGTGGCTAGTGTTTTGGACATGCTTGATCCGCTTCAGACAGATACTGCAAACCGCAATGTTGCAGTCTGAGCACATGTGTTGAAAAAAGCCCACACTAATGAAATTTTGGAAGTCAGATGGGAGTCAGAAGTACCCTGCACCTGTGGAGCTCTGTGGTGTGATGCAATAGGGTGGCTGCCCTTTTGCCTGCCCCTGGAGGACATCCTGCCTCATTGGAGTTGTGCCTCCTCCTCACTTTCCTCCTGTGTTCTCTCAGGCACCCAAGTACAGTCAGTGATCTCATCATACCCTCCTTCCTTGTCACTGGAGCCAACTTGGCAGTTTTCTGGGGCTGGGGGAACATGACTGCCATTTTCTTGTCTGTCATTGGCACCCCCTCTCTCTAGGCTCACGTCACTCCCTTACTCAACTTAGGAAGCAATATCGGAGCATTCAAATTCGGCGCATCCTCCAGCAGCATGTAACTGCCACTATGATCAAATAATTCAGGTGATTCCTCTGTGCATGATGGTAGGGCTACGGGAGGAGCAGGGGTGGACTGACAACTCATGGGGCCCCAGGCAATAGGGGATCATGGGGCCCCTGTGTCCTCATCCACACTAAAACCACACCCAAAAAAGCCTATGAAAGGTACCAGGGGCATCTCATGGGGCCCCCTACTGACCCACAGGTTTTCAATGTATAGGGCCCCTCAAATCCTGGCCCTGCCTAAACAGAGACCTAAAGTTCAAAAACACATGGAGTAGCACCAGTGGGCATGAGGATTGTCACCAGCTCTACCTTCTCATCCCCTTGAGAACTCTAAACAAAATCTAGCCTGCCGGAGCCTGATTGCTTGCAACACTTCAGTGCCTTCTTTACCGCCTTTATGTCTGCCCTCCCATCTCCCTTGCAGGTTTCTTCATCACAAAAATACCCCCATGAAATAAATTGATATAGTTTCTGTCCTTTCAAAAAGTGGACACTTTTCTTGAACTTATTAAACAAACAAAAATCCAACTACAGCAGGAGCAGCTGTTACTTCCCAGCTACTGAAAAAGGTTCACCACGTTGTATTTGGTTACCCTAACATAGCTCCAAATGAGAGAATCAGGCTTCCCACAGTTCCACTGCCTGTCACCCTCTTTCCAACAAAAGCTTTTATCCAGCTTCCCTCCCTGCTCCATAGGAAGAAGTCTCAATGCTCCCCCGAAGGGTTGCACACATCCCAGCGCTAAGATCACTCACATGGTGTCCTTTAGTGTGTTCTCAATGCAAGAAAATCTTTAGCTGCTCCTGTTTTCCACTACATTAAAAAAGGCCTATAAATTCCACCAACCACTGGTTTTATACTATTGTGTAAACAGGTAGGAAATACAGGCAACCCAGCAACTATTAAGGTCCAATCTTAAGGACCAACACCTCAACCCTTTACCACCATTCATTATCACAATCATCTTCACATAGACTTGTAGGGCTGAGGATGAGTGGAGATATTTCTGATCAGTTCTGTTAGAGTACAGAATGCAGAGGACATTGTGGTCAAACTCAGGTGCCTATTTGATTGTTTAATTATATTTAAACTTACTGTGCAACTGCTGTAATATTGAAGTGGAAGACTGAAAATTAAGGTTGTTTGTACAAGCTTAGCATTAGTCATTTAATAACTATTTCTGTGGCTTTGGGTGGGTTTAAGCAATGCCAGCCATAGTATACATATTACAGGTAAACACTGTATACTAATAACAGGTCACTGTACACAAATTAAATAATT